TCTTTTTGTTGTTTTGATGCGATTTATGGTACAAGGTGTATTAAACTTTTACGGGACAGTATTTTTTAATTGTGATTATGCAAAGTAATTATAAATTGTCAGTATCTGACTTGGAGCAGGGAGGCTGTGCTATGGTCCAGGGTCCCTGTAACCTGATCCATGTACATTTATTGTCATTGCATTATCAGTGTTTCAAAGGACTGCTTTGACTGTAATAAATTATAGACTATTTTATATCAAGCACCATGCGTCCGTACGTTATCTTCCGCTTCTTCTGGAGTCGGGTTGTGGGGGCAGCAGCACAAGCAGGGAGGCCCGCACGTCTCTTTCCACAGCCGCCTCTTCTGGGAGAACCCCAAGGTGTTTTCATTCATTTGTTCATGCATTCATGCAAATAATATATTTGCTCAATACAAAACACTCTCTGCCCTTGATGGACACACCTGGACAGTAATGACAGAAGACAAAAGAGGAGTGGGGAGAACGTGGTGGGGTTATAGCAAATAATATTTCACACAACAGGTATTTCTAAGATAGTGCAGCCCAACTGTAAAGAGAGCTGCATCAGGGTTTAAAAAAAAAAAAAACACGTTTCAACAGTCGCGTAAAGCTGTAGATTTCAAGGTGTGACTTGTTCAAGATTACAAAAATGAGCTGTTTGGTCTTTGTTGTGAACCGTGATTTGTGTTCCTCATCTTGTCAAGATACAAATCTGATCAGTGCACTGATCTTTATAGGATGAATACAAACAAGTTTAGCCTCTTAGTTTATTTATAAAGCGCCATGTCACAACAGAAGTCGTCTCATGGCACTGAACAGAAACATTCATATATAAAATAATAATTTATTTATCTGAGGAGCAGACTGCTTTGAGTTTAACTCCCATCACAGAACTCTCATCTTGAGCAAGCATGAAGGCGACAGTGGAAAGGAAAAACTCCCTCGTGAGGAAGAAACCTTTAGCAGAACCAGGACAAGCTCCATCTGCTTCGACCGGCTGGGTTTGGTAGGAACAGATACACAATGGCAGGTCAAGAATCACATATTAAGATAGAAATAGTATCAAATGAAAACTATTAGATTTTAGCCAATTATTTAAGGAAATGAGGGTAATTTGTGCTCTAGTAGTCTAAGCCTATAGCAGCATAACAAGCCAACCCTAACTATAGGATTTATCAAAAAGGAAAGTCTTAAACTGGACAATGTGTCAGTCTCATGGACAGGAACTGGAAGTTGGTTCCACAAAAGAGGAGCCTGATAACTGAAGGATCTTCCATCCATTCTGCTTTTGGAAACTCTAGGGACCACGAGTAAACCTGCAGTCTGAGAGCGAAGTGCTCTGTTAGGTTAATATGGAACAACAAGTTCTTGAATATAAGATGGAGCTAGGTTGTTGAGAACTTTGTAGTTAGAAGTAAGATTTTGAATTCAATTCTAGACTTGACAGGGAGCCAGTTTAGTATATATTAATCACTAATGAGTTTAAAAGTGTGAATTTAATGTTTCTAATTAATTCAGTTGTGTACAACATTGAGTGTTGCCCTCAAAATTGCTTTAAAAAAAGTTATTTTGAGTTCTCCAGTTGTATTTTTAAACTTTTTATGGATAAAAATCGGTGATGATTGAACTTGATGGTTTTATTAGTGCAGTTTTATCACGGATAAAGATCACGTGGAGCTACACCTGCTCCATAAAAGAAGACCGAGCCTGAGAAGAGCTTTAAAAAATGCTTGAGATCTATTATCGGTTTATATCTGTCCCTGAGTGTTGATCGCACACTGATGCACTTGAAGCACAAAATAAACTGATCTAAAAATTAAAACTTTGAAGAGATGTTAATAAAACGTTCCCGTTTTTGCATAAATCACGGCGGTGTTATAATTGTTTCCTCGGAGCGTGTTTGTGCGTCTGTGCAGCTGTGGTTACACAGGTGTGATGAGAACTCGATTCTCCAGCAAGGCAAAACACCACAGCTGGATGCCCCGCACTCCATCTGACTAACCCTCTCACCCCGCTCGCTCTTCTCACCTCTCATCTTTTCTCATCTCAATTTATCCAATACTTCGCCTCTTCTGTCTTCGCCACAAGTCACAACAGATTGCAGCAGCATCCGGACCGACTCAGCTGCCAGACTCCTTTTCAGTGAGCTCTGGCATGCTGCCAGAGGAGCATGTGAAGAAATGACAACAAAAAATAAAAATCCCAGAGAGTAGAACAGGAAAAACTATAAAGCAGAACTGTAAGAGAGGTTGGAGATTTAACAAGAGTTGATAGAAGAGAGGGATTCAAGAAAGGAAGATTCAAGGAGTTTGGAGAATGAAATGATAAAGAGGAACAGAAAGAAAGAAGAATGCATTGAAATCTGCTGGAAATAAACAGTCATGATGATAGAAGTGAAGATAGAAAAATACACACGCTGGCTGATACAACCTTGTGTCCACACACTCATCCGCCCACAGTCACCAGAGACCTGATTAAGAGAGCAGTGCTATCGATCTGTGGGCTGGCAGGCTAGGATGGATGAGCAGGCAGGGCTGCAGGAGCACCAGAGGACGGCTCCAGTGCCCCGCCACACCCAGACATCCACACCAGGATCGCTGGCAAGAAGTCTGCCACACTGATGCTGCAGCAGAGGGTCAGAGTGAAATCTGAAGAGTGAAGCAGGACGTGATGAGGGGGGTGTCAGGCCTCGTCTGATGCTCGCAAAGCCGGGGTGGAGAGCAGAATGTGCTCGTGCCCTTGAACTTCCTCTACCTGCCTTTTATTTTCTGTCTCCAACACGCACGTTGGAGCACCTCTGCCCGTGTTTGCTGGAGTGTGGTGGAAGGGGTTGTCTACAGATGACTGCTTATTGGGCTCCAGGGTGCTGGGGGGGGATCACCGGGGAGGCCGCTGAGGTTGTTTGGGAGGATTTCAGTGAAGCGCCAAATGTTTTGAAAGCAGGTGGTCTCACAGATGTTAGGAGAGTTGGTATTAATGTGGAAATGTTCAGATTTTAGATGAACCTACCTAAATAATTATTATTTTTAATTGTGTGACCGCTGACTCAGCATTCGCTGTTGTTTTCTTTTATTGTGGGGGTGGGGGGGGGGGGGTATCCACTTTTTGTTGGAGTCTCGCTGCTCTAGTCATTCACAAATAAAACCGTTCAGCTGCTTCAGGAGATAGTTGCTGACTATTTTTTTTTGTAACGTTTATACTTTTCTAAATATTTACCTTTCATGAACATTTTTTTTTTCATATAAATATTTTAATCTCGCTACAGATTGAGAAATGGTGGCGCAGAGGTTAAGAGATGGTGAGCCTGTCATCAGAACGTCGCTGGTTCAACTCCCCTGACCGACAACATCAAAATGTGAGTGGAAAGGTGAAGCACCCACACCTGCCTCTACCCTCATTTGCCCCACTCTGGACCCTTGAGCAAGGCTCTTAACCCCCACCATCTGCTCCCCCGGGTGCCCTATAGCAGCTCTCTGCTCCACACAGAGGGCTGTGGTAGCTCAGTGGTCGTGTCAGGAAGGACATCCGGTATAAAAACAATTGCCAAGTCTTCATGTGAGTTAGTTCACTGTGGCGACCCCTGAAGAATGAGCAACCGAAAAAAAAAAATCTCTACAGACCTTTTTTAAATATTGTTTTTTTTGTTCTCTTCAGCATGCTTGCTTTATATTTGTCTTCTTACACAGCATTTAGTTTCCGTCATATTTGGGAGCCTTTTGCTACTTTGTGCAACCCCTTTACCATGTTTTACTTAGCTCTCAGCTAGCCTTTTGCTACATACAGCTTTTAAGGAACTTGTTTTGCTACATTTAGCTATTAGCCAGCCATTTTCTACTTTTAGCTTTAAGTTAGACATTTGCTACTCTTAGCTTTTCATTTTTTTTAGCTTTTACTAGCATTTTGCTACTTTTAGCTCGTATTTTGCTAGGTTACCTTTTTAGGTCTCCTCTACTATTAGCTAACCTTTTCATTCAACCTTTCTTTAGACAGGTTAATCCCATTGAGCCTCGGGGACTCATTTACAAGAGAGACCTGAATCACCGAAAGAGTGATGACAACAACAATAGATAATCATAAAAGATGCGTACAAATTTAATCATAAAAGATGCGTACAAATTTATTTTATTTTTTAATTTTGTAACAAGTTAAAATAAAACGGCAACCAAAAGCGCAATCACAATGAAAAGTAGCAAAAAATGTAAGGCGGTGTAGACCTTTGCTAGAAACTTTTGCTATTTTTAGTTAACATTTTGCTACTTGTAGCAACATGCTATTGCTTTCAGCAAGCAATTTGCTACTCTTAGCTCATAGGTAGCTTTATTCCGCATGTATCTTTTGTTAACCTCATAATACTTTTAACATTTATTCAGTGTTTTGCCACTTTTAGCTAGCATTTTCTAATTTTGACTTTTCGGTAGTGTTTGGCTCCTTTAAGCTTTAGCTTGTGTTTTGTTTCATTTAACTTTGACAACTCAGTTTCAGCTTTTTCAGCAAATGTTTGCAGCGTCATCCAGCTCTCAGATT